ACAGTGGTTCACTGGCCAGCCTGAACAGCAACAACAACAACAACCACAATAGGGCGTCGCCGGGGAACATCTACTTCAACGACAATCCCTTTGGAGAGGGGAAGCTGAAGAGTAGTGCTGGTGGTGCTGGTNGAGGGCAGCGGAAGTGGCAGCAGCAGTAGCAACAATGGAGGAAGTAGCAATAGTCCTAGCGAGGACGACGAGGACGATGAGCCCGATGATATAGAGGGCTCCGGAGATGGAAAGGGCGAAGGTCTAATTGGAGGTTCGAGTAATACCTCGACGACGACCACTACCACTTCTGAACCATCTTCTACGTCGACGACCACGACTACGACGACAACAACGACCACAACGACAACTACAACGACAACTCCATCAACGACCACCACTTCAACTACCACGACCACCACAACTCCTGCTCCAATTAGCAGCAGCAGCAGTCGAAGACCGGCGCTTCCACCTAGCGATGATGAGGACGATGATGATTTCACTGAAGGCTCCGGTGATAAACCTCGAAAGGAGTCGGCGGACGATGTGGAAGGCTCGGGTGATAGTAAGTCCTTCTAAACCCTTTTTCAAAACCTTTTTTACTCAAACTCCTTTCTTTCCTAGAACCCAGAGAAGCTGTTGAGTCAATTTCGAGCTCTACATCCTCCACCACAACTAGCACCTCCTCACCTTCCACCACTGCTGGTTTTGAGTTTGCTTCCAGCACTCCCGTGGTAACATCAACAAGCAGTACTACTTCTACTTCAAAGACCACAACTCCCGACGAGCCCGACTACATTGAGCCGGAGCCGGATGATCCGCTGGATCAGGTGGAGAACGATCCTGAGGGCCGTTATCAGAGGCCGCACCATCCCTCGACGGGACAGCCGCCGGAGATTGTCGATGGAAAGTCCTATCCCTCGCAGAATCCGCCCTTTATCGCCCGACCGGGTATTCTTGCTGGTAAGTTGGTGTTCTTGCTTTTGAGANTTGAGTTTGCTTCCAGCACTCCGGTGGTAACATCAACAAGCAGCAGTACGACTTCTACTTCGAAGACCACAACTACAACTCCCGACGAGCCCGACTACATTGAACCGGAGCCGGATGATCCGCTGGATCAGGTGGAGAACGACCCCGAGGGTCGCTACCAGAGGCCGCACCATCCCTCGACGGGACAGCCGCCGGAGATTGTCGATGGAAAGTCCTATCCCGCGCAGTATCCGCCCTTTATCGCCCGACCGGGTATTCTTGCTGGTAAGTTGGTGTTCTTGCTTTTGAGAACTCAGAAATTCTAATAACTTCTCCCTCCTTTTTTGCAGCCATCATCGGTGGCACCGTCGTCGGCCTGCTCTGCGCCATCATCCTCGTCATGTTCATTGTCTATCGGATGCGCAAGAAGGACGAGGGCAGCTATCCGCTGGACGAGGCGAGGCCCTTCANCTGGTAAGTTGGTGTTCTTGCTTTTGAGAACTCAGAAATTCTAATAACTTCTCCCTCCTTTTTTGCAGCCATCATCGGTGGCACCGTCGTCGGCCTGCTCTGCGCCATCATCCTCGTCATGTTCATTGTCTATCGGATGCGCAAGAAGGACGAGGGCAGCTATCCGCTGGACGAGGCGAGGCCCTTCAGGGGTGGCGGCAGTGGAAAGGTGAAGAAGGAGTGTCGATATGCCTGATGGTGCTGGTGATTGAAATGGTCATCGAATGTGATATATCCCTACAACTACAGCAACTAATGCAACTTTAACTATAATGTCTATTATTTGTACATCATCTGAATCACAAACACAAACCTATACACGCCCCAACCGAATCATCTTTAAAAAGCTTACTGATGTTTTCTTTTTTGAAAGTGTTCTGTTGTGGATTTTTGTTTCAAAATCTAGTAGAAAAAAAATGTACAGAGTTTAAGAGATAATTATTACACCACAAACACAAACACACACACACACAAAACACTTTATCTGCCATTTTAAATTGAAGTTTCCCATCTTTCTTTTTTTTCTTTCTGTTTTCCACCACTGAGTTGTCACCACCACCACCACCACCACCTTATTTACTCCGTTTATTTCTGTACAATATCTTTTGTGTATCTAACCTCCACCACCACCACCACCACCAACTCAGTGCTTCACTTTATTTATTCTAGCTCTTTTATCATCTTTTATTTTCTCGTTTCTGTTGTACACACTCCGCTCTCTCTCTCACACACTTTGTCATCATCACCCTCATCATCACCACTTCTATTGCAACTCTTTTTTTTGTACAGCTCTACAACTACTGCTCGACCTTCTTTTCCTTCCTTTTTTCCTGCTCCCGAACCAAAACCAAAATCAACAACCAAAACCCGTCTGCTGCGGTTTATCATATCAACGCAAGCGGACGATTTAACTTTATCATCATCTGACCACCGCCAATCAAATTGAATCTGGATCGAGGTGATTTCTCCTTCCCTTCTGAGACTTTTTCCAAACGCCCTTCCTGCCCAAAAACTCGGCAACTGTGTCCTGCAAATGTGTCTTTTTCTCTTGGATTTTATCAACTTGCAGCTAACTTCTTCTTCCTCTGGTTTTTATCGTCGTCTTAAAACGAGCACATTCCAAACTTGAATACTAAATGGAGTGACGAAACAAATCCTCAGCCATCACCCTCCTTTGGTAACTAGTCTCGTTGTGCCAATTTTTTTGAGCAATCTAAATCCAAGATAAAAAAAGCAGACAGCAGATATCACAACACATTTTCACCGAAACAAACAACCGATTTCAACGATCTGCGGAAGGCGCCGAGATATCATCTACTTCTACTTCTCTCCCCAATTTTTTCACCTTTGCATGTTATGTACATAGGCGCAAACACAAATGACCTAATAAATGATCTAATTATAACAAAGAAATGTGCGTTGGTAATTTGATTTTCAAAAAAGGTTAAAATTATTTGTAGTTTTGGGCAAAAACTTTTGGCCTGTTTTTTGGAGTTTCGCGCTCCCGTTTGAGTCGTGATCGTCTGAGGTAGAGTCGAAAGTGCCGACATAGCCGCAGCGGCTGCGGCTCGGCAAAAAAAATGCTGCTCGCCAGACAGAACGAAAACACACAGCGCTTTCCTGGTGCTTCTGTGGTACACTTCTTCTACTTCTGTTGTTTCTTCTTAATCTTCTTTTTCCAATCTTGAAGCCACTGGAGCCCCGTTGTGTACCTCCGGGTGTTAGCAGTATCCTCTTAACTCTGATCTCCGGTTCTAGATCATTGGGCTCTGTCCGTCGGGTGAATCTGTCTCTGAATCCCTCCCGCATTTTCTCAAGCTCATCTTCCTCGTCGACGCCCTAGAGCCTGTGTGGCAACATTTGAGCCTTTTTCTGTTTGAAGACTTCTTTTCCTTATTCAAAGTACATTGCCTGCTGTTGTATCATGGACTCGTCGGCTGCTGCCAATCCGCCGCCGCCGAAGACGGGCACCGGCGAGCCCGTCATCAGCGACTTTATTGATATCACCATCAAGACGATTGACTCGAAGAACTTTCAGTTTCAGGTGGAGAATGACGTAAGTGCTGCTGCTGTTTGTTTGTTTGCCGTTTGGCTGTGATATCTCAAAATTCCTGGTGACTAACTCCTTTTACTTTTACTCTAGATTCAAATTAAAGCCTTCAAGGAGCGCATCGCCGAGGAGGTGGGCATCGACACCGACAGTCAGCGAATGATCTTTTGCGGCCGTGTTCTCTCCGATGAGAAGACTCTAAAAGAGTACAGTATGTTGTCTTTGTTTGTTGTACTTTTCTCTCCATTCACTAACTTCTCGCTCATATTTCCTTTTTTTAGAAATCGACAGCGGAAAGACCATTCACCTGGTGAAGAAGGCCGCCCCGGCTTCGCAACAACCGGGGCAGCAGCAGCGCACAGGCGCGGCCAACAGTACGCCCAACGCCGCCGATCGAAACCGCTTTCACAGCTACCGCTCCGAGGATGGCTCCGTCTTTATGGGCACCATCTCGCTGGACTCGCCCAACAACATCCTCAATCAGATGGTGCGATCCATCTTCACCGGTTCTCGTCCGGCTAATGCGGCAGGAGGAGGAGGAGGAGGGGCAGGAGGAACCGGTGGTAGCGGTGGTGGAGGCACCAACGACCTAAACACTACCGGCTCTTCCCTTTCTTCTCAAGGCGGCGAAGGAGGCGGACACGGAGCAGGAAGCGGCGGCAGCGGCGGCCTGCCCACCGGCAACGCCAGCATCCGCACGCGCATCAACTACGTCCGCCGCTTTCTCGGCTACATCTCCACGAACTTTCAAATCCTCGAGCACCCGAATCAGCTGCCCACGGTGCCGCCGGCGGCGGCGCCTGCCACCGAGTCCACCGAGCCAGTGGTGACGGCCGCCGAGTTCGGCGAGCTCTTTCGCGAGGCCTTCGCCGTGGCCGATCGCCTGCGGCCGCACATTGCCGCGCAGATCGCCGCCATCGGCGCGGCCACCGGCGAGGCGGAGGCCGCCTTTGCCGCCGCCAATCACTCCATTCTGATGCGCATCTCCCACCACCTCTCGCACGTCATTCACATGCTGAGCGAGTTCAACATTGACGCCGGCCGCGCCCCTGGCCCTCACCCGCTGACGCTGAACACGCTGGACACGGTGCCGAATGGGGCGACGGGAGCGGGCGCCGCGGCGGCCGCTGCCCTCGCCTCCTCTGCCGCCTCCTCGCTGCTCGCCAGTCTGCCGAACCTCTCCGCTCGGATTGAGATCTCCACGCCGGTGACGGTGGCCGGAACGGGCAACGCGGCGACCATCTCCGGAATACAGGCAAGTACACTCCCACCCATGCCCCACTCCCACTCCCATCCCCTCCACCACCACCTCGCCCAACACTACCACAACCACCACCACCATCGACACCACCACCACTCGCATTACCCTGTTTTGCTAACGATGGAGGTGGACACCGACATTCCCGTTTCGCAGAACTTTATGCAGGAGCTGTCGCGCAGTCTGGGCAGTCAGCTGGGCGGCGTCAACTTGGCTGGAGCTGGTTCTGCTGCTGGTGCTGCCGCCCCAGCAGCTACTGCCGCCAGTTCAGCTTCAACGAC